CGGCGGTGTTCTATCCACCACGCCACAGAGTATATATAAGAAACAGTACATGACATATGCTAAATAAGCAAACACGCGCTGTTTTTGAACCAATCAGGAGGCAGGATGAACCAATCAGAACCAATCAGAAGGCGCTAAATTCTATGTCAACTGGGAAAAAAAAACTCGCGGCCCGCAGCTCGGGCACTAAAGCTGACGCGATGTTTTGTGGTTGCATTATTTAGGTTGGCTATCGTGTGTGGCAATGACATGCACATGGAGATGGGTGGATGATTACTGGTAATTTAAAACGAATTCTTTCACTGTATGGCCCCTATTGGACTGCGCGACTGTTTTTCAGGCACAAATGTGGTGTCGGTGAGTAAATTCGCAATATTTTTTTAAAACGCTGGACAACATATGACATAACTCTCATTGTGCTCAGCTGAAGTACATGGCTACCTAGCTTTAATATTGCCACTCGACCGAAAACGGTCGAAATGCTATTTTTCAGCTCCTGAAATTCAATTCTCAAGTATAGGATCCTATATGGTATAATATAATGGTATATTATAATGTATAGTATATGGTAGGGCCTATATGATATAATATAATATAATATAATATATATATATATATATATATATATATATATATATATATATATATATATATATATATATATGCGGTGTGTGGCAAGGGCGACGACCAAATTATTTCTTGTTGCCCTTTTCCTCTGGCAATTCCAACAGATTAATAAAAATTAAAAACATTATCTAGCCTACGCCGTGTATTCTATCTTATAATAACACATTATATTGTGTTATTATAATTATATCATATTATTATAAGGTGTACTATGAAGCGTAGGCCCGAGAGTCAACATCCGGGATCTCAATAAATTTGCGATTCTTAATTGGCGTAATGCCAAATTAATTGCGTAATTATTAATTGCGTAAGCTTGTGACACGCTTGTGAGCAATAAGAGAAAGAGACGGGTGGTCGTGTGTATAAACAGAAGCAATGATGTCGGCGTTGCATATATAGTCACCAAATTAAATCGGAAAGTTTAACCCTTTATTTTGTCCATACTCGTGCAACCGTGTTCCGTGCGTACGTGCATTTACGTAAACGCTTACGTATAATAATATGCGCGTACGCGTGCAGGCCTGTATATCTGCGCGCATACGTGTACTGTACAAATGTAGGCCTATGCATTTTTATTACTCTATGTTTTTGTGTGAATAATTCTGCTTTCTAATGCACAAAACCCGTTACATATTAGTATATTAACACAGCAGCACATTGGCATGCTAATCTTCGCTCTAGTAACGGGAGATGTCATTCGTTGTTGTGCCGTCTAGCGGCCATCTTCAATGCAGTCCCATTGCCGACGTATATTTACTCTGCGCAGAATTACACGCTGAAGCGCTTACAGCTAATTAAAATAAGAATTAGCACCGAAATTAACAGAATTTCAACAAAATAGCCCACTAGGGACATCATTATATATATAAATACGAGTATTTTCATGGGGGTTTTACGATAAATTACATACAATTAAGGTATTAAATGACAATGGATACCCCTGCTGCTGAGTTAAATGCTTCACATATTTTATTTATTGCCAACTCTTTGCTAACGTTGGCATTTCAATATTGTATCCGAAAATAACTAGTATTAGGATCTCGTAACATACACAAGACAGATTTCTGAGCGTAAATTTGGTGCGTGCGCGCGAGCGCGTGTGTGTGCGTGCGCGTGCGTGCGTGCGTTCGTTCGTGACTCATGAGTGCGTGCGTTCGTTCGTTCGTTCGTGCGTGCGTGCGTTCGTTCGTTCGTGCGTGCGTGCGTGCATGTGTGTGAGTGTGTCATATCACGCATCAGTATACCTAGAGTAACATGAGTGAATAGAATCCATTTGTCTTATAGCTGCGTACGTTATTCACACTTATAGAACTGGAGGACTTACAATCTGTTTATCAATAATGTGGCGATGAATTTCTGTTTAAACATGTAAATGGTAATGTTGTTTATGCTCGCAATCGACAGGGGGCTCCTGCCGTACCGCATCTAAATTCTATAACACACCGTAGTTCCGTGATTCCGTATAATTTCCGTATTCACATTGGACTCTTGTGGACTCCTGACCACCTGACCACCTTGTGGACTCCTGACCACCAGAGGCGCTAGTGTAGTTTTTTCAGTGACGTCATTTTGGCGGGAACAAACATCATGGCTGTACAACCAAACCAACAACTTGTACTTGGTAAATATAGTATTATAGGCTCCTATAGTCAGTATAGAGTATAGGTTTTAGGAGGATAGTACACAAATATATGACACCTTATAAATTTATTCACTCCAAAACATGCGTATTGCTTAAGTCGTTTATATAGGCAGTAATGCCACAGTTTTGCGTATAACTATAAATAGCCTAGGGAACAGTACGTATTCGTCGACTGACTTACTCGAGTCTTAGTGACTAGAGTACTTACTCTTAGTTACTCTACTCTAGTAGTCTTAGTGTCTATTACTAGTATTACTATTAGCTCCAAGAAACGGTATTGCTAGGGTTAGAATACCATTGTATAGACAATCCGTCGCACAGCCTGGTCGGGCTAAGTGTCTATACAAATTACAATACATTGTTACTGTAGGCCTATTTCACTATTTGTAGTCTAAACTACAGACTCAGTACAGAGTACAGTCTACATCATAGTACACGCAGTCTACACTACAGTACTACTAGTACTACTATAAATAGTCTTAGTGTTTTGTGTATCACTATAGCTATCATAGGCAGTGAAACTTGATGCATGTAACCTTTCATATGCCATGGCATTGGTAATGGTATTGTCTATTGAGATCCGAGGTCAGAAAAAGAAACTCGCAGCTAGGGGCCAGGGCCTGCATATCGATTACCGGTACAAATCCACTTTAGGCACCAAAAAAGAAAAGTTTAGGTGCCTAAAGTGGATTTGCGCCCTGCATATACCTCCCAAATCCCATTGGTTGATACAAATCACGTGCCTGAAACTCCTGTTTTAATAAAACTTTTATGGTGCATTGTGACCCTAACCCTAACCCTAATTAAAATTTAATTAAAAAATGAACTAGATTTGTATCAACCAATGGCTATTTGGGAGGTATGCAGGCCTTAGTTATAGCTGCGAGTGAAAGAGAAAGTGTAGGCCCCTACTCTGTACTCACTGTACTGCAGGCGCATCAAATATATTAATTCAGAGTGGCTATATGCCCGGCAGCCGGCATATATCTGACGGCTGCCGGGCACGGTCTTCGATTTGCTAAATGCCCGGCAGTTTTTAATTTTCAGCGTTATCTCAAGTAAACAATGGTTAGGGTTACTACTGCCGGGCATTTAGGAAATCGAAAACCGTGCCTGGCTGCTGGGCATATAGCCACAGCGATATTAATTTGTGTACCTACTAATTTAATTATTGTTCAATAGAAAGCTAATTCTTTACTTTAGATTCAAGCCAGGAACAAGGTTTTATTTCATTCTACCGAGGGTTACCAGAGAAAGCCGGTACTACGTTTCGGGTTTTCGATAGACTGGTATGTCTATATTGCACCTATGCGCAGTAGAATATGTATGGGTATTTTATACTGGCAGTGGCAGCCCGTAATTGCCCAAATAAACATTTGCAACGTTTACCGACCGACCATCAGAGGTTGCTATTATGCACAACCCGGTTGTTTTATAGCTATACAAATGCGACACAACCATAACAACAAATTCGCGACACAACCATAACAAAAAATTCGTATAATAATGAGTGTTTGACAAACATTATTTCTAGGGCATATGTCTTGCTACCGGTACCTTATAACAGTTAGCTGCGTATGAAAATAATGGGACAGAGTAATGTAGTTACTTTAGCGTACTGTTTTTGTCACAAGAATTACATGTTCTTCTACTGATATATTGATTTCATTTACCAGGAGTACTATACAGTGCATGGACAAGATGCAATCTTTGCTGCTAAAGATGTGTTCAAAACGATGGGTGTGATAAAGTATCTTGGGGCAGGTAACAACATATATATACATTATGCAGGTACTTTCAAGTTATAGAGAAAGAGATGTCTTTTCAAGAAGATATAATAGATATGAGATCACTAAACATGAGCTTACTGTTGTTTGAGCTGCTGCACATGATCACTTAATTTACATTTTGAGTTTTCTCAGATATTTATTATTTGTATAAAGCCAGGTTGTCTATTGTTATTTTTTTTCAGAAAAAAATATTGGTAATCATACTTATCTCGTCAAAACATTTTGTTGGTTTTTTATCAGGTTCCAACAAATTGGAATCCGTTGTCCTGAGCAAACTTAACTTTGAGTCAACAGTACGTGACCTGCTGCTAGTTCGTCAATATCGTGTAGAGGTCTATCAAAATAAACGCTCGGGGAAGCAGAATGACTGGGCAGTGGCATTCAAGGTAAAACAAATTCGTAATAACTATTATTTTTACGTCGCATCTATTAGCTCTGTTGTTATAAAACTTATATGTCGTGATTGGTCCTTCTTTGTCATCATCTTCTTCTGCTGAAATCCTTCCAGGCTTCGCCAGGAAACCTCACACAGTTTGAGGACATACTATTTGGGAGCAACGACATGGCAGAGTCTCCCTGCATCATTGCAGTGAAGGTCACCGTTCTCGATGGCTCGCGAATCGTTGGTGTCGGCTTCTCAGACGCAACCATGAAAAAACTCGGAGTCTGCCAATTCCCTGACAATGATCAGTTCTCAAATTTTGAGGTGCGTGAAGTGTCGGTGTTGATCTCGCGAAGATGTTCATGTTAACCGCAAGCTCTGCTCTAAATTGGAAAAACTTGGAAATGTTATTTGTTGTCATAACAGGCAATTCTGGTTCAACTTGGTCCCAAGGAATGTCTTCTGCCTCAGGACCAGTCTCAGGACTATGCCGTCATTAAGCAGGTTTTAGAGCGAGGAGGAGTGCTGGTGACTGAGCGAAAGAAGGGTATCAATTTTAACCACATATAGTCTTGTAAATTATCTGTGAATGTGATATACTTGGGATTTTTAATAACAATTAATTACAGGTTAAATATTTTAGTATTTACTAGTTGCAGTTTACATTCATGTACAAATTTCATTGTTGTGATACTTCCCAGATAGCATGCGGACGTTGGGCCAACGTTGGGCCAACGGCTGTCTTCAGCTCATGCTAACGTTGGGCCAACGTTGGCTGCCAACGTTGATCCAACGTCTTTTTGCTCAGCGTGCCAACGTTGGGCCCAACGTTGGCAGCCAACGTTGAACGTTGGCAGTGGCCAATGTTGGGCAACGTTGGCACGGTCATGGTTGGCATGTGTTGGCATATTGACGTTGGGCCAACGTTGGCATATGGTTGGCATGGTCACGGTTGGCAAGTGGTTGGCTGCATGCCGTTGGGCCAACGGTGGCGTATGGTTGGCATGATGCTAGTTGGAAATGGTTGGCTGCATGACGTTGGGCAACGATGGCGTATGTGTTGGCATGATGCTAGTTGGAAATGGTTGGCTGCATGACGTTGGGCCAACGTTGGCGTATGGTTGGCACAATGCTAGTTGGCCAGTGGTTGGCTACATAACGTTGGCCCAACGTTGGCGTATGGTTGGCACAATGCTAGTTGGCAAGTGGTTGGCTGCATGACGTTGGGCCAACGTTGGCGTATGGTTGGCATGATGCTAGTTGGCAGTGGTTGGCTGCATGACGTTGGGCCAACGTTGGCGTATGGTTGGCATGGTCACG